GTGGTTCACAAGTGCAGAGTTCTGGAACATATAGAGCTGAAAGATTAGTTGATGGTGATTTTGATACAACTCCTGGTGAAATAGCTGATAGAACTTTCCATCAAGACCCATTGCACACAAGGGATGATAAAAAACAAAAGAAACTAAATTACGGGTTGTCTGAATCAGTTGATGAAGGATTAGCATCTCCTTCTGATGACATAGCAGTTTCCAACCTCAATGGAGAACTCTGTGATGCACCAAACATGGACAGAACTGCTTGCGTCTTCTGTCATTCTTCTAAGCAGACAGAAGTAAGTTTCAACCTGAATAATGTCTCTTATATTTTGTTAGATAACATCCTCGTGCAAGTCTTATGCTATTGACTTTCTGTTGTTTCCATCAAAACATTGATTGTTAGAGGTAAACTATATCTCTTTATTTTTGAATTATTTGTTTCTTTGTTCTGATCTATTATTTCCTACATACTGTAGTGGACAGGACCAGTGCTTTACTATGTCAAGGGAAAGGAAGTAGTAGGAGACGTCACTGCTCTTACTGAGGCCATTCCGGTCCACCGTAAATGTATTGAATGGTATGAATTCATGGGAATACGTTTTATGCCTCTAGATTGGGTCTTGGTGTTAGACTATTATACTAACCATACGAATCCAATAAATATTGCGCATATTGGAAAAAATCCTGAAATAGAAGCCTTTTTTCCATCTTTGATATAGTTCTTGCCAACTCAAGGATACTTCATATTAGATATTCTCTTTCAGAAGTGTGGACGAACTTTTTGAACTATTATAGAGAGTGAAGGGTTCTTGTAGACTCCAAATTGAGCCTGTTTTCTTTATCTTTGTTGTTTTATCTCTTGTTCTAAATTGATATACTTGCTGTAGGGGACTATATCACAGTAATTAGTTTTTAATTGTTTATTGCAGGACCCCTCGAATTTATTATGTTGGGGAAACAATTAAGAATTTGGAGTCTGAAGTGGCAAGAGCTTCTAAGCTGAAGTGTAGTGGATGTGGGTTGAAGGGAGCAGGACTTGGTTGCTTTGTTAAGTCCTGCCCTAAAAGTTATCATGTGCCTTGTGCTGTTGAAATTCTGGATTGCAGATGGGATTGCGTATGTTAAATTTATTAGGCACACATGATCTGTTGAAATCAAGTCCTAATCCCGCTTTCTCTGACCTTTGCATATCGTAAAACCAACTTGCAGCAGGATTTTCTAATGCTCTGTCCTACTCACAACTCTGCTAAATTCCCAAGGGAGAAATCTAGATCTCGAGAGTTTGGAAGTGACAACAAGGGTTCCTTGTCCACTAAAACGTATGGAGCACTTTTTATGATCATCCTTTTATACGTTGACCTTTTTCCAACAACTATTAAATTAATTATAACTTGAACAAAAGATAGTTGGCTTTTGAAAAATCTTACTGGACTTGTTTCCAGGGTTTTGTTCACTTGTATAACTCGTGGTGGGACTTGAAAAGAGATTTATACCCTCCTTTGCCTAATATACCCATGCTTTAAGTAGTTTTTTTTTGCCAAATCCAATACTGAGGAATTGGTGATGATTTCTTATCCTGAAATAACCAAGTCCTTTTCATTTTTTTGTCAATTATTTTGTTGTCAAATAATGGTTTGCGAAATTATATATGTGAGAAAGCCAAGGTCATCTTTGGATTTCTCATGTTTTACGATCTAAGAATGTTTTACTGTTATATTTATGAGACTTACAAAAGAATAATGCTCTATTGGAAGTTGATTGTAGGAAATGTGGACTGCTCTTCTGATATCTTTTTAGTGTCATGACAAAGAGCTCTGAGGTTCATCAAGTTGAGAAACTCATTTGACAAACTACAAAAAATTTAATTTTGGCTGGTTGAAATTGGTGTGTCCAGTTGCATTTATTGTCCATTTCTAAATTCATGTAAACTCTTCCATTGTGGGTGCAGATCCTCTAACGCATTGAAATTTTGGGAAATGTCAACTACTGGACCGAAGCAATGGTTTTTCTGTGGATCTGCTTTGTCTTCAGAGGAGAAGGTTGGTGCTGCTGAATATTGACTATGATACATTAATTATGAAGATCATTGGTAAAGGAGAAAAATCTGAGAGATATTTTTCCGTACTATCGATTCATCTATTTGTAGTTATTGAAGTTCAAAAATGCTTAATTAGATCATGAGAACTGCTCTGACATCTCCCGTAAAATATTTTTCTTTTGTACATTTTAAGTAATTTTTCTGGCATTCGTTTTTCCTTCTTCCCCCTTTTGGGTAATTGTAGGTGAATATGTTTGAATGGGTAAGTGCCCTTTTCACCATAGAGTTCTTGGTTACATACCATGCCTAGTAGAAGTGTCAAACATACAGCCTAATCATTCCCATCTAACTTTGTGTATGCAGTATTTGCTGGTCAAGTTTGCTACCATGTGTGGAGCAACGGTGTCCAAGTTTTGGAACCCAAAAGTTACACATGTAATTGCAGCCACAAATGCAGAGGGGGCATGCAGTAGAACTTTCATATTTCTCATGGCAATTTTGAGTGGACGCTGGATCCTTACAATGGATTGTAAGCCCCATGTACATTTCTGCTTATGTTCGAGCAGCAAGGTTTTTTTTTCCTTTACTGGACATTTTGACTTCCATTCGCTTGAAGCATGTATAATTGGCTGTCTGAGAGGAGTCATGTATTTTCCTTAATGATTTTTCGCCTTTTGACTGGAATGATAAAAATCAAATTTGGTATATCAAATGACTTTGTTACTGATCGGGCAATAATTGAATTGATCTACACTCGGAATGAACAAAGAAAATCTTGAAAAAGACAATTGGATAATTTATCTGTTTGACTTATTTGATTGTTCTAGCAATTCACAGTACAACCCATTTGTTTTCAGGGATAAAAGTTTGTATGGAAGCAAATCATCCTATGAATGAAGAACCTTATGAAGTTAAACTGGACAATCATGGTTGTCGTAATGGCCCCAAAACTGGCAGAGTTAGAGTGTCGACTAACGTAAGAGTTACTAATTTTGTAACAGACTTGTATTTGTTAAGGGAATATAATCCCACATCGGTAAAATATCGAAATAATGACCAATATATAAAGAATTGGGACACTCCTCTTAACAAGGTTGACCTTATTAAGATGGACCCCAAACTTTAAAATGGTATTTGAGCCAACCCATGAATTTCAAGATTGGTGTGATCAAGTGAGCCACCATCTTGAGGGGGCCTGTTAAGGTATTATATCCCACATCGAATGATGATGGAAATAAATACCAATTTATAAAGGATTGGACTTCTCCACTTAATAAGGTTGACCTTATTAAGATGGACCCCAAACTTTAACAGTATTCTTGTTCATTGTTGTTACTTCTATTGTTATTACATAATATCTAGATATCATGTATTAGACACCAGGAAAGACATATCTAGAGATTGTCTTATGAATGGTAAAAAAGGAGACATTAGGCTATAGTCAAACATTGTCGGGATCTAGAGGTATCGAGAATGTTAAATTTTTGGCTATATTTTCAATCACTCTGTTGAGAATCTCAGTTTGTGTAGATGCATTCGTAATTAGAAAGCTAGCACCATGTGCTGATCACCTTTTTCCATTGTTACACAGGCACCAAAGCTTTTTCATGGTTTGAAGTTCTATTTTAGCGGGGATTTTGTGCCAGCTTACAAGAACGAACTTACAGACCTAGTTACAGCTGGTGGAGGTACTGTTATTGATAGCATGGAACAGATGATAGCAGAAAGGAACGAGACTAACAACTTCTACGTGTTTTTTTGTTTATAATTTTGGTTCCCGAGAAGGATGCATATCAGAAACAGCAAGTTCACCTTACATGCAAAGATTAGCAAAAGCACAGAATTTAACCGAAGGTTTTGATTCTCGGGTCCTTCCACATACATGGATTTTGGAATCAATAGCTGCATGTAGGTTGCTACCTTCTTTTTGCTAAGAATTCTATTTACCTTTCTGCCTCATCTTGGATGACATTGTTTTATTTTGATATGCTTAAGGAACTGTTATGTAGGAATACTTTTGGAAGTTTGTATATTCTAAAACTTAATTCTGGAGTAGATTTAATGGGAATGGCTGAGATGTTAACTACTGTTTGATACATTGGACTATAGATCATTGTGCATGATTACGTGATTCGAAATGAAGTTAAATTTTTGTTCAATATCATCGTGCAAACATAGTATTAAAAGGTGCATATATTCTAAAACTGTCCTAGAATAATGGAGTGATTGAAAGATTGTTACTTTTATGACATGTTTGATATATTAAACTAAACAATAATGAATAAGACTAACAAAGAAAAAGTTTAAATATTACAAAGTATAATATCTCATTATTAAAATATTCTATGTATAAATTCAAATTTTCTTATATTTTAATCACATATTCTTTTAAAAATCACTATTCAAGACATTGTTTTAATCAAATAATGGCAATCAAACAGAGAGCTTTAATAAAATTAAGATCAGCTACTTCTAATTTATTGCCACATTTGTAAGAACATCTAAAGACAACTCGCAAACATTTACAATAGATTGTTATATAAAAATCGTATAACTCAAAGTTTATAGAAGTTGAAATGACTAAAAGAATTTTAGAATGATGTTATCTAATACCAATTGATATGATCTGAGGATCATTATATATAATTGGTTGAAATTTAAAAATATATATAAAATTAAATTCAAATTGTGTATATTAAACTCTAATACAACGAGAATTGATGCTAGACATAGCATTTTTCAAAAATTTAACTTAGCAGTAGTCTAGAAATTGACTAGATTAAAAATAATAAATTAAGCTAGATTTTAAAATCTAATAATCTGACACGTGTCTTATACAATTAATGCTTTAAATAAAAGTTTCTTTATTAAACTCCTAAATGAACGAAATAATAAATAATACAGCTGGCATCCATTAACCCCAACTCTAACGGTCACTTCTTCTTTCAAAAGACTGATAAAGCCTGACCCACCCCACCAAAACTTGACCGTTTTTTGCTCTGTTTCTTTGAGGCGGCTCCTCTCTTTGCCGTTGTTCTTTTGCAATGAAAAATATGAAAAGCCTTTAGCACCCTTCGAATAATCTGAGGATCAACTCTCTCTCATTAAGCAAAAAAGATTATACACTTATTTGATTGATTTCTCTAAATGGGTTGTTTTCTTGGTTGCTTTGGTGGTGAAAAGGATTCAAAACGGGGCAAGAACAGGAATAATCGGGTCATCTCTAAACAACAAGTATGAATTTTTTAGCTCACCAGTTTTTCAGTTCTTTACCTTTTTCTCTTCTAATTTCTTAGTTTTGTGCTTTTGTATAATTGATATTAAGGATTTCTAATGTAAAGCAAGATGGGTTTTGGTTCTCTTAAGGTTCTTAACTATTGAAAATTGAAAATTCTGTCTCCTCGTTATGATTTTAGCGACTATACGCAGTTATATCGGACCATTAAGAGCCTAACTATGTTGCATAAAGGAATGTATGCTTTGTTTTGTTGTTTTGTTTTATTTTCTATTATTATTGCTCATGTAGGAATTATTTCTTGATCATGCCTCTTGTTTGTTGTTAATCAGATTGAACTGAATTAAATTATTAAAATCTTCTTACAGAGAGAAGGATTTCAGAATGTTCAGCAGCAAAGTGTAATATCTGCAGAACAAAGTATAATATCTGCAGAACAGAGCACCACAAAAATAACCCCCACCAACTTGGTTCCTGAGGGAGAGGAGCGATTGAGCCCGAATCCTCGAAAAAGAGTTACGTTTGATTCAAATATCACAACATACGAGCAAGTTTTGGTCGATGAAAGTACAGATTCTTTACGAGGGGATGATAAAGCATTCGAGAAAGAAGAGGAGGATAGTTTGAAAACAAAGAGCCAACTTGACTCCCTATCTGAAGACAACACTTCTGTGATATCCAGTGTTGCATCCAGTGTTGCATGTTATCCTCCAAATCATAGGTATCACAACGTTAGAGACAACGATGATGAAGCCGAGGAGGAATATGGTGATAGTGATTTGGATGATTTAGACGATTATGATGATGAAGATGATCATGATGACTATGATATTGATGGCCAAGAAGTGTGGGCTGAATCAGTTTTGACATCATCAAGAGAGTCCACGACAGAAAATTCTCCAGTTCGAGTAACAAACGAGGAAGTAGAGAGTCGTGTGATAAATACCGGTCTACTTGAAGACGAATTTGAGAGATTAGCCCACAAGAGAAATGCAAGAGACAGAAGTGTTTATGTTAATTCGGTTCTGAATCCTATAGAGAACATTACTCAGTGGAAAGCTGTGAAGTCTAAAGGGGTAAAGCCTCAAAAGAAGAATTTCAAGCAAGACTCAGATCAATCCAAGTACCGGAATCAAGAAATAGCCGTTAATGCAAGTCTTTCAAATTGGCTGGTTCCATCTGAGGGCGAACTCGAGACTATGTCACAAGGATCAAATTCGGTGATGAGTTATGAAGATAGGCCGATTTTAGGTGCATTGACAATCGATGAGCTGAAACAGATTGCAGCATCTTCGACCCCAAGAAAGTCACCAAATCGAAGCTTTGATGAGATGCCCATTATAGATAATGTTGGGACCTATTGGAATCACTCGGATTCGGCCAAGTCACCTGAATCAATCTCTTCTCGGAAGAATACATCCAGCAAGTACGAAGAGGTATTTGTTAAGTGAGAATTTTGCAGACACTTTCCGTTTGGTGTAATGTATGGTAATTACAATTTGGTATTATGGTTTGTGAATTTTAATACTCTGTTTGCATTTGTTTGTTTGATTGTTGTTTGTAATTCTTGTATTTGTGATCGTTTCTATGGAATTGCTGTTGAAAACTGATATATTGATTGATTCAGTTTATTTATTTATTTTAATTTTTTTACTCATTTTTCGAGTAAATTTAACCAATAATCACTGAACTTTACACTTGGTTACTACTTGCTCACTCATCTTTTACAGGTTACTGAATGCTCACTCATCTTTTCATATAATTACTCATTCACCACTCGTCTTTTCAAATAATTGGGCGACTTTTACGACAAATTTTCGACAACTTCCGATCACAAAGAATGTCGAATTTTGATACCGTTGGAAAGCTCACGATGTCCTCTTCAATTACCACCCAAAATCTCATTATAACTCCAAGAGATTCGATCGGAAAATTGCCTTAAAAGTTGCCCAAAAATTCTTGTATTTGTGATCGTTCTATGGAATTGCTGTTGAAAACTGATATATTGATTGATTCAGTTTATTTATTTATTTTAATTTTTTTACTCATTTTTCTCGTCTACTTATCTAGGACATGCAACTTCAAGCCCCATTTCATGGCAAACTTGACCTGGAAGTTGTTCCGTTATAATATGCTTGTCTTTGATAGGTTTTGCCTTTTGATGAAAGTAATTTTTAAAGAATTAAGCTATTTTGCCAGAATTTAATGCCCACCCTTTTGACAGAAGTAGTGTTGCGGGTTTTTATTAGTGCAAAAATTGCTATGTTTTTCAAACAGGCGAATAATAGAATGTGGCATCACATTCTGTCAAAAAATGTGTCAAAACTATTTGGCAATATAGCAGAACTGTTAAAAAAAGTGCTAGAAATTTTCTTGGTATCGAACCTGACTTGATAGAAGATGTGTTTGATAAGATTCGTCCATATCCACAATATCACAATTCCCTGTTTAAGCATTTCTTTTCACAAAAATGAGTTTTGTACTAGTGATTTTTTGGATAGTGTGGTTAAAAATTTTGTTTTTTTTTTTAGAATTTACGTACAAATTATTTTATGGAGTAAACTGGTTGAAGATGAGTTTGAGAAAAGATGAAATTTTAGATAATGGGGCTCAAACATGGCAAAAGTATATGATTAGAAACAAATTTCACGTGTTTAGGTGATTGCAACTCTCGTTTTGATTGGGAGCAAAACAAAATAAACTACGATGTGAAATAAAGCTAGATATGATGTTAAAGAAAAGCCATTGTTTGGCAATATGAAAAAATTCATAGCACCTATATGAGCTTTTTGTCAACACAAAAAATCATTGTTCAACTTGAAAAAAATCAAAAGCTCTAAGCCTTTGAATCATGTATTAGCAGACGATATACATAGAGGCACTGATGTATTGGCACTCGAAATCAAGACATTGGAATTTTGTTTTTTTAAATTCTTGAGTAAGTGCAAATATTACTCGGATCTTCTTCCATAACGTTATAGAACAATAGTCTAATTGAGGTAGATTTTACGGCAAATTGTACGTGAATAAACCCGAGGGAGAGGAGAAATCGAGCTGAATAAGAGTTGCATTTGATTTTAATAGCTGAATAAACTAGCAAGTTTCAGTCAATGAACGTGATTGCCATTCCGATAAAGGTCTGAAGATCACACAGTTTGGATAATTATGCAAGAAGCGTAAGGTACCTTTGAAAACTAGTTGTTAGTGGCAATCCAAAATTTGCAGTGAAAGATAATAATCAACTACCGTCGAGCGATGAGTTGTAAATGTTTGCATAGCAATCGAGGATGTCGACATTGATCATTTCGGAAGTAGGAACTTCTCCTCCTTAGCTTCCCTTATATTTCTCGTGGATGTTGATAAGATTTCTGCCAATAAAATCCTCCGGCTACTCTTCCGAGGTTTTAGCTCTTACTGGTTTTAGAAATTTTGTTTTGAGGTGGATTCAGGATCTGCTTTAGAGTCTGACAAGAAAGAATGCAAGCTCTTAGTTACACAACCACAGGTGAAAAATTAATACAATAAACATCGTCTTATTAATAATCCAAAAACTGAGTGAATTACATTTTTGTCAATTAACACAATTTTTAACTGCAACTGCAGTTAGCCTCTAGTTACTTCCCCCTTCATCCGCCCTGCTTCCTTGCTCTATGTAATATCTTGCCTTAAATAGATTGTTGGATGGACACGAACTTGAAGATCGTAGTTCCCCAAATCCTGCTGTTCTTCTAGAATTTCCACTGCTGATCTTGCAGCAGATTCGCTAGAGTTGTCAATTTCGATGAGTTCGAGCGTTGATATATCTCCAAATCCTGAAGGGATCTTCTCTAGATGGAAGCACTCCTGAATACTTAGGCGTTTAAGGCTTGGGAAGTGGGTTTCATCAGCTGTCCATTGCTTCAAGTCTATCATCTCAAGTTGCAGGTATTGCAGTAGACGAAATTCTCCTTCGTTTGCTTCCCATTCTGGACCCTCGAAGGCGTGGATTTGCAGCTTAAGTGCTACAAGATTTGGCAACGAACCAACAATGGTAATATTTTTCCATGGAATTGCGCAACCACACAATGTTAATTTTTTAAGGTTGAGTGGAAAAACAAGATTCAGTGTAGCATCCGAAAACGCTGGAGAATACTGGGGAACAAAGGCGCATTTCAGTGTTTCAAGCTGATGAAGAGAGACAAGATTGTTTAGATAATAGGACGGAATGTCCTGGTCTGAGCGAGGAGTGTATGTGATTTTCAATATCTTCAGGTTCGGAATCATTCTAAGGACCTCCTCAGACAATCTTAAATCTTGTACTAGAAGTGTTTCTAGTTTTTCGAGAAGAACAGAACTGTCCCCATCAATTTGTGCACCAGAAGGATTAGGCAAGGCACTTCCATTTAAATGGAGATGCCTTAGTCTTGGCATCTTCCAGATTCCCATTGGTAGATATAGTACATCCACGAACGTGACTCCCATACCTCGATAAAAGATTAACGTCTGAAGATTACAAAGTTTGGATATTGATTCAGGAAGCATGCCATCGTAGATGAAAGCAAGGTACCTCAGAGTAACTAGTTGTACTATTTCAATTGGGCATACATCCAACTTAACTGCGAGCATATCCAACACCCTGAGCAGTTTGAAATTAGCAGTAAAAGCTAATACTCGATGAGAATGTCCAAAAAAATATAGAAGAGACTGGACAGATGGGTTATACTTGTTTCCATAGGAATCCAGGATTTCTGAAGGAATGCTTAGGCGACGTTGACTTAATGGCTTTTTTCGGAAAAGGTGATCACTCGATCTCATGTCATGAAGGAAATCCTCTTTCTTAGCTTCCCTCAGACAAATTTCTCGTAAGAGATCGTGGATGCTGCAGGTTTTGATTTTGCCATTAAACCGATGGGTTCGAACCAATACAAGATTTCTGCCAATTAGATCCTCCAGGTGAGTTTCTGCTGCCTCTTCCAAGGATTTAGTTTCCAGTGGTTTTACAAATCCTTCAGCAGCCCATAACTTGATGACTTTGGAGATGGAGATCTCATGAGCTGCTGGGAAAGCTCCAAAGTATAAGAGACAAGCTTTCAAATGATGTGGCAAGTAGTTGTAACTCCAAGACAGAATCTCTAAGCACTGCTCATCTTTTGTACTTACAATGGATCTTACATTTTTTGCAACGTGCTCCCAGTAATCTTGTGACTTGCTGGAATTAGACAGGTGTCCACCAATCACCACAATTGCTAATGGAAGTCCCTGGCAATTTCGCGCTATCTTCTTTCCGATTTCCTCCAATTCAGGATGACAACATTCGTTTCCAAATACCTTCTCACGAAGCAGATTCCAACTTTCTGTCTCATTCAGAAGATGCATCTGATGATAAGTACCACTAGAGTTGGCATAGAGAGCCACATTTGATAGACGAGTAGTTATCAAGATTCGACTTCCATTATTGTCGTCTGGAAAGAATTTTTTCACCTCATCCCAGACATTAGTATCCCACAAATCATCCATTAAAATGAGATACCTGTTGCCCTTTAAACTTTTGTACAGACACTCTCCTAATTGATCATCACTTGCTTGATTCATTTGATTGCCGAGATTTTTCATAGAACCTAGAAGGCCTAGGAAAATTTCTCTCACGCGATATTGTTTAGATACAGTCGTCCAAGCACGGATATAAAAATGATAGACAACAAAGGGATCATCATAAATATTTCCAGCGAGAGTGGTCTTACCGATGCCTCCCATCCCAGTGATTGGGACAATTTCAAGTTTAGACGGAAAGCCACGGAGCCGATCCTTAATTTGCTTCATATCCTCGTCTAGTCCCACCTTAGAGCTCTTGCCACTTGAAGCAAGTCTTGATGAACCAGCTGGCTTTGAACTCTTTGATTCTAGATTCTTTACACTGCATCCTTGTTCAATCTTCATCACCTCTTTCTCTATAGAGTCCATTCTTTCTAGAACTTGCTGCAAGACTTTATAAAAGCTTCCGTAATTTCTTTCTTTATTGCTTTCAGATGCAGGAAGAATAACTGATATGTAAATCTCATCTTCAGATTCATAGGCTGCATCTCGGATTCGAGTTATCAAAACTTCAACTGCTCCGTTGCTCGTTGAAGAGTCCTCCAGAAAATCTAGTAAGAAACTAACTCGTTCCTTGATTGATTCAATTAGTTGTTTATCAAGAAGAATATGGTTCGGAGCTGGATGCAGGATCTGATCCAGAGTCTGCACAAGAGAAGCTAGAGCACCATAAGCCATCTCAGATCTCTCACCACCACTGCAGGGTACTTTATCTTTTAAATGCGAATCAAGCTATTTTGCAAGAATTTGGTGCCCATCCCATTGTCATAAGCAGTGTTGGAGGGTTTCTATTGGTGCAAAGACTGTCGTGTTTTTCAGGCGAATGATGGAATGACACATAGAATGTGTCAAAATTACCTGGCAATGTAGCAAAACTGCTTTAAACGCAAGAAATTTCATGTGGCTATTTTTCAATTCGGAGGATGTATGATGTACACACACTTTTGTATAAAATTGTTTGCTTACACTCACAATGGAAGGGTAGAGGCCACATTCAGGATTTTTTTTTTTATTTCATGTGAGGTCAAGTGTATGTGAGAGTGAGGAATACAAATATCTTTATCCTTTCAATTTATGGGACAGGCTGCCAACGCTATTTCTTTAATGTCTATGAAATGTTCTTTTCAAATGTTTTTTTCTTAGCTGTGTATTTCTCCACACGAGACCGGGTCAGGGCTTCAAAATCTGAAGACAAGTAGGACCGAGAAGCAATTAATGGCTTAATGACAAATTCATTGTAGCTTTGATTTTTCATTTTCTTGAAGAGGTACTAAAATATTAAATTGCATATGTATGTGATACTTGTGCATTTGTATATGCATACATTGATCCAAGCTTTGGGCACTTCAAAGTTGCAAAGCAAAGCTTTAAAGTTTTATGTGAAACAGTGAGATTTCAATTTTATGATATAAAAACTAGTCGTATTTGAAAGAATTAACAGTTTGGGGATGATGTCTTCAATATATTTCCACGTTTCTGCAAAATTACCTCATCATAATGAATGTAAAAAACAGATGCTTAACATACTGAGAATGCTCATATTCACACAGCCCATATAAATAAACATGGGTGACGAAAATTGTACAAAGCCTATAGCTTACAGAAATCATGATACATACTGACGGGCAATGGCTTCATTTTCTCACCAAACTTCATAATTATTTCGATGCTTATCTCAAAGACCATAAATCTTAAAGACTTCGAGAAAATAAAAATTGGAGTCATAAGGTTGCTCGTCCACTAAACCGTAAGAGAAAAACAAGCTGGTGCCCAAAAGCACGCATCTAAAGGCAGGACTAGATGATAAGTTTGTCTCGAGGACAAGCTGAACATCTATCGAATGATAAGTCTCAAAAGGGATTACAAGATGCACACTGGCCTATTCATGCACTTTAGCACGCTTCGTGGATGGTGATGTGCCGTCAACATTTGCATCTGAATTTTCAAGAACTTGAGTCTCTTGAGATTTATATTTCTCTCCTCTGTCTTGAGAGTTTTCTCCTGATGCTGTGGATGCATTAGACTGGTTAACTCCTGTTTTGCTGATAGGTGCCTGTAATCCTGAATCATCATTAGCAGGAGAACTTTGTGCAGCACCCGACGACTCTTTAATGTTGTTCTCCATAGTCGATGAAGTCCCCTTGAGCGAGTCAGACCCGGACTTGCACTGTTTCTCAAACATCATCTGCAAGTATCTCCCTTGTTCTTCAATTCGAAGTTGTAGATTTCTTTGAATCTGCAGAATGGACGAAGTTAAGCAGCAGATTTGATACTTACCAAACAAAAGTGGCCGTTTTGCTAAGATAGTTTCATAAATGACTCCATGATAGGGGCGATATGAATCCATCGGCAATAGTTGTAATGGTGAAGATTTATAGAAGACACAGGGCTAGAGCTGCATATATTCGTACATGTCCCCAATTTCTACAATTGCAGGATGAAGGGCAATAAAGAAAGTGTAATATCCGTGAATTGTGTCACACGTCACTGTATGAATATTAGAGATCACATGTCACCACGTGTGATGGGAACTATACATTGTACGTGCTTAAAACTTCTCATCTTATGCCTAGGACCAAAAGAAGTAGCATTGGATGATATACACATAAATAAAAATAAAAAATAAAATTCCGTAAAGTATAAATTCATACCTCAAGCTGTTCATGCAGACGCTTTTGCACTTCCATTTGCAACCGCAATGCTTCAGTTATCTCAATTCCCCTATTTTCAAGTTACAGAAGTCTATAATCAGAAGAAATGCATATGGGACACGATACCACAGATGGGAAAAGCAACTCAATTAATTAGTTATAACAAGTTGAGCGCTTCTTTTCCAAAAGTTTCAAATTTGTCCCCCATTCTGGTTGAAACTAAAATCAAAGCAGGGATATTTCCTGGTTCCAGGTTGTCCACACATCTCAATGAACAATCATCCAGCAGCCAACATCATATTAAATATCATGTAATTTAAGAAAGGCACCAATAGTTTGACAGTCGTAGTTTCATCTCTCGACTGGGGTGACAAAATGAAATGAGGGGTCTTTCCTCGTCTGAAGGTCTTCATAAATCTGATGGTAAATACTTTTTCTTTAAATTCCAACTTCTAATGAGGATCCAAATAAAAACCTTGTACTACTTAGGTTGAACAGATGCTTGATATAATATCGTTGGGACAAGTCTTCCCAGAAGTCCTCATCAGTGCAGACCATTTATGCAAGCTATTCACAAAACCAACTCGATAGAAAATACAGATGACGTGTAAGGGTGAGTTGTCAAACTTTTCTCTCACTGAAGGAACTGTGTAGCAAGGAAAACATATTATACAACAGAGAAAAAAGCCGTAGGTCCATCCTCTAATTAAAGAAGCTGATCAAAGGGAAGTGGTATAAACATCCTTTACTCAGGAGTGAAAATCTCCAGGCGAAGCCAGAACATCAGAAGAGATGGCTGCAATAAAAGGAAGATACCTAGAGTTTAAACTTTAAAGTTTAGGAAATATCGAAAGAATCAAAAATCTTTCTTTTTTCCTATTGTTGAGAGGGATGAGGGAGAGGGTTGGCGTATGAGTATCCAAAGCCAATTAGAAGCTCCAACGATTGTACATCTGTGATCATTATGGTCAACTTGAGCAACCAAATTTCCTTCTCTCTCCAATACTTGCATCTTGCAAACAAATAGTTCACAGTGCCAAACTTATGTATAAACAGAACAACGAAAGAAATATTAGTCTATATTCTCTAATCAATAAACACATGTAGATTCACATTCGCACTTCAGAAGTATAGACACAAATGTAATTTGTCCGCTCTGAAAAAAATCAACTGCATGGTATGATAGGCTCATATTTAAGGTAAAAAATAAAAATAATAAATAATAAATAATAATAAATATATCTATCCTAAATTGAGTAATAATGTTTACAGGAGGTCGATCAAACTTACGTTTTCAAGTCCAAGGATGACAATTCTTCAACAGACGGTAGTTTTTTCTCTGAAGATTCTGCAAAAGGAGAAACGAATTTCTTTCTAAGTGATGACCAAAAACTGCTGTCTTGTAAGATTCATTATATCCAAAAAGCCATAAATATTAACCACGCCCAATTCTGAAGGAAGAATAAAAACCCTATAGTTCATGATTATGATGTAAAACCATGGCAATCCAAATAAACTAGCAGATTGGCACATACCTCTTGTTCGGTCATATATTACCTCATTAGATGTAAGAAATCATAGTTTGGCACATACCACTTGTTCGGTCATATATTACCTCATTAGATGTAAGAAATCATAGTTTGGCACATACCACTTGTTCGGTCATATATTACCTCATTAGATGTAAGAAATCATAGTTTGGCACATACCACTTGTTCGGTCATATATTACCTCATTAGATGTAAGAAATCATAGTTTGGCACATACCACTTGTTCGGTCATATATTACCTCATTAGGTGTCAGAAATCATAGTCTAAAAAGGCTCTGCTTGACAACTGATGTTTTGGCTTCAGATTTGACAGAGACAGTATAAAGAAAATTTTGTTTCTCTGAACCAATTTGAGCAGCTTTACAAGACAGGTATCAACAGAAAACTCTAGTAAAAGTAGGTGATTGAAAAGGTTATCGACAAAATTTCTCCACCTGCTCTGGTTGGTAGTAAGTACGGTAGGGGAATTTCATTAGAGGTTTCTTACTTGTGGAAAGGACATTGTTTGGGCCATAGGGCCTATGACTCAACGTGGCTTGCCCGACACTAGAACTTCTGATCAATAATTCTAGCAAAGACAAATCCTATTTAGTATTTACATGAGCATGGTTCTCTCTGTTACTCCATGGTGGAGATATCTAGCCGGTAAAAGAACATATAAATAGTCATGCAAATTTGTACCATCAAAACTTAGTTGGATAACAACAAATTTGAGAATTCTTGCTGCTTTTATCGACTCCAACAAACAAGTATAGTATGCCAGCCTTATTGTTTACCATTTAACATATTTAAGACTTGGAGGAGAGTTCAACCTTTAACGCAGAGCCTTAGCTTTGCCATACCAAAGCATAAAATGTTTAATTAACAAGGGTCCTTTCTGTTTTGTCCAGAAAATCGAAAGCACAGTTAAGATCCTTCACATGAAAAATTAAAACCAATTTGAATTATGACACGCCAACTAGATGAAAGAAAAAACAAAAACAACTAGAAATAAACAAAAGTTACAGAGAATTAATTGGCAAAAATGAAGAACTAAGTACACAGGAAAAATTATAACTTTTTAAAAGTTTCAAGCTTCAAAACCAAGTCAAATTAAAAAAAAAAAAAAAAAAAAAAAAAGCTTGATTAATCTGAACACCAAACAAACAGATAAATTCATATGAATTATTGACATATTCATGTATCCATCTATTACTTTAACTTATACAACAGCCTTTTCCAGTATGTATCTTAAATTAGGACAAAGAACCGAAGAAGTAATATAAGCCCCTGTTTGACAACTATTATTTGAAAACTCTTTTTTCTAAGTATTTATTTTTAACAATACATTCACACAATAAAATATTCTGCACGTATACCCAAAACTTTTCCCTACTTTTCAACATAGAATTCTCCTAAAAATCACTATTCAAAACATTGTTTTCCCAAATAATGGCCATCAAACAAGGGCTAATCCTATAGTAAATTTTCAGTAAAAGTATAGCAAAAGGTGAAGTAGAAGATGTTACACCTTCTGTTGTATCTGGCTTGTATCTAGCTGTTCTGTATTTCTGAAGTTCAGGAAACAGATTCCATAAATAAATATATGGCAGTGAGAGTCATCATACAGGTTAAATCTGTTATGACCAAATAATGCAAACCTGCAGGTGACTTTTGACATGATAAATTGTCAAACCTTCAACTTTCATTAGCTTCAGAACACCCTTGGGAGTAGCTCCTGGAGTCAAGAAGAATTATTGAAGTGAGTAGGTGGCCAATATGTTATGATCAAATTATACAGAAAGAAAGGAGGGAAATTACTTTCGCTCCCACCAAGTTTGATGACTGCTTCGACAAAGGCTTCATGAAGTTCTGGTGTCCAACGCATGCGTTGTTTTACTGGAGCCACATTTGCTGAGGATGATTGAGCAACAGTTACATTAGTTTCTCCAGGTGTATCTGGAGGCTGCTGGGGTATTTGGGATGGCTGCATTGAGAAATTTACTGGCTGTTTGGACATCTGATGTTGCATCTACATTACAAGAACAAAGAAAAAGCATACTATCAATTATCCATTATCCCATTGAAGAGAAACAAAAATGAAAAATGCAAAAGCAAGCCCATCCAAAGTCATGGATAGAGAAAAACTCCAACCTTTGGTTCAACATTTGCATCGGCAAGAAGCTCATTCCAGTCAGAGGTCAAAGGATCATTATCAGCAATAAGCTGGTCAGCCCATTCCTGCCAATCATTTCTTTTGCTAAGATCCTCAGATGAAATGCCAATCTCACCACTGTTAATACTTTCTAGTAGACCATTCTGGATTGAGGTACCAAATGAATAATCAAGAAAATCAGGCAGTGATTCTTGACGCCAGGAAGAGCTGTTATTTTCTTTGGTATATTGGCTTGATGCTGTGGATTGAAGAATTCCAGAATCACAAGAACTTGGTAATGTAACCGATGTCCCATTATTTGTCGATTGAGAAATGAAAGGGGCTTGCCTTAAACGCTTTTCTTGCTTTGGGATGGATGAAAAATGAAGATCACTAGAAAATCCTGAGGACGAAGAAAATATATGACCAACAACCCCACTGTTGGAAGACAGCGGTGAAAGGACAGCTGGAGGACGTTGCAAGAGTTCGCTCTCTGTGGAAACCTGCTGAGAGTCCCGTAACTTGGGATATGTCTCTTCCAAAGGGGTTGGAATAACAGGTAAAGAAGTCCCAGATGCTCCACAATTACCAAGTTGTCTTACACCTGAGCTTTGAATAGATAAAGCTGGGCGTGCTTCCATATTTGCCTTATAAGTAAATGATAGAAAATTCAACTTAAAACTAGCTTGTTTCTCCCCTCACCTAGAACACCTGCACCATAAGAATACCCATCAAACTTATATCTTGAATAAATTAACTGATAACGCATTAACAGTCTACTGAAACAAATGCTCGGAAGAAAATACACCTTTACTAATCTAGTTAGGAAGTTGTGAAAGAGATCTTCAGATCTGCTTGGGCAAGTCAAGGTTGAAAAATTAAAACTAAATCTGTGATGCCTCATAAGGCATAACTTGAGAATTAGGTTTGATTCCAGCAAAGATGAACACTCTTTGACATACAGGGACTTGAAGTTATATTTTTGTAGCCAAGTAAATACATGGAAACTAAAATTTGTTATTTCTTCACATGATCCATGATAATAATGCATGTCAAATGAGCTTTAATGAACGACCATATGCCTAAAAGTTTTATATGCTGCTGTCAGAACTAGAAACAAACTATGTATACTATTCGGAGAATGTGCCCTTATAATGGATTTATGAGAAAACACTTGGGTCATATTGTCTGGTCCGTTTCCACCACAGAGCAATGGTGGTAAAAACACTCAAATCATCTTAAAGCAGTCCGTCTTGACACAAATGAACTTCCAACTCAGTCCTCAGGGGCGGAGCCAGCACCGGATGAGCCACGGCGGCTGCCTGTGCTGGCAACGCAGATTTTCCCCCCCCCCCCCCCCAATATATTGGGCGGCCGCAAGCACTCGCCTAGGTCTGCCTTAGCTCAATCAAATTCCGGGATGTGCCATTGATAGTACTTAAAGTTTTTCATTAAGAAATGATTTGCTGCATGCTTCTGTTCTGCTTGTTGGGAGATCTTGCACTCTTTGAAAGCTACCAGTGATTGCTTTCACAACTAAGAGTGCTTTCGGACAAATGAATGAAATCACTGGTAGCTTTCAAAGAGTGCAAGAACTAAACTCTTAAAGCTAATTTTGTTTCTCCTACCTGCATAGTCATCATACACAGTGCTAAGCTTTTCCTTGCATGAAATTAAAACTGAGAGTCATGATGTAACCATGAACGCAGATTAACGGCATTGGCTTGAGAATCCACATTTCCACATATATCAAATAAGCAGAGGCAAGAAAATTGAATCAAACACTGTCAGCTGAGCTTGAAAAGGTACCAGAACATCTGCGGGGAAGTCGGGTTTGTAATGAAATTAAGACTTCTATGCTTTCCTAAGCTTAGTTTTCCAAAAAAAAAAAAAAAAAGTATGGCTCAGATGCCCAGTTTCTATGATTTGCGTGTTTCTCTCCTCAAAGTTATGACTTTGTAGACTTCCAAAAAGTCAGTAACATATATGCAAGTGTGCCTCTCTGTGAACTAGGAACACAATCAGTATCAGTGGTCACCCCAGTAACAACAAATGGGAACTCCTCAACAAAGTGCTCAATATATTCATCAAATTAAATCTACGAAAAATCCTGCCAATCAATTACGTTTGCAAGAATGGCGATTAAGACAAACTTCAAAGAAGACAATTAGCAAAGAAATTTTCATATGGTCATCATCTTATAAAATATTAGTAGTGTTCTAGTGTCTTAAAGTTGAATCTTGCATAGGCATGACATACCCATTGGCACGTCTAACTAACCAGTCACCTGCAACAGTAATTCCCTCAAAAGTTTATCTTAAATATTTGTTGCCCTTGTTGATTTCAGAAATAGTAGCTTGTAGAGTAACTTCCCCAGATTAGGGTCATAACGACTTGATGGCTTAGTGAAAGCCAATTTTAAACTTTATGCCTGATAGGACGAAAACTTAATACCCGTGCATTGAGAGATTTCCATTCTGGGAGGTAATTGACTATTATGATTTTAGCTAACATGAAAGAAAACCTCCAAACCCGATAGTCAATCTAACATCAACTATAGTTTCCATCAGCTCCCAGTTTTACCGACAAATCCCAATCTAAGACCAATAAACCCTTACTATTGTAATACTTTCAGGAGAATCAGACAACAGAAACCAGACATGGAAACTTATTTTCTCGAAAGGGAAAAATAATCAAATTCACTCAAAATTAGAAATAAAAAATAAAAAATAAAAATTCCCGTGTACCCGAACAGGAAATCATTAATTTTAATTGCATATCAAACAAAACACATCAGCACCACATATACGCGCACAAATAAAAAGATTAAAGAGCCCCATAAAATCAAATCACTAAACCTTCAAAAATGAAAACAAAATCGACGATGAATATGCCAGGTAAAAAAGGACAATAAAAAATTTATTAACTTGGAAAAACCATGAATTCTGCAAACAAAATCCTTACCTAAAATGGCAAATGAATCACCAACTACGAATCAATCAGCTGAATTCGAAAATTTATGACATTAAGGATTCTTCGACACGCGAAAAAACGACAGCGCATAGAAATATACGTATAGAATATGTATCTATAGAAGTTTATGCGTGCTTTCCGCGGGTTCCGTCACCGGTGGCGACAAGTAGGAATTGTACGGTGACGTGACGCGTGCTCCTTTCCCTTGCCGTTGTTGTTTTGGCTTTTGGCTTCTATAGTAGTTTTTGCCACCAGGTCAGTAATTGAACACGCGCATATCATGGCGCGTGTTGGGCAGCGGACCCTGATTGAGTCAAATGATCCGGGTTCCTCTATTAATTTACGAATTTCAATGTAAAAAACATTATACGTATTAAATTATTAAGAGGAAATTATCTGTAATCTGAGTTCCATATAATAATGTATAATTTGAATCTATCTGTAAATTGTAATTATGATTAGAATATGACCTTTTTTTAGCCTCATTCTTTAAAAAAAAATAAAAAATAAAAAAAAATTACATTCTTAAATAATATTTTGACATTTTTTCAATCACACATTTTTTAATAAAATAATATTACACGTAAATTTAAAATTTTTACTTATTTTTTAAACACACATTTCCCATCAATATACTATTCAAAAAATTTTTTATCCCCAAAAATGGGGCTCAAACAAGGCCTATATATATTGCATTACATTCGTGTAATTGACCTTTAACTTTAAAATTTGTGCGTTGTTGACAAAGTTTAATATAATTTAAAATAGTCAAACTTATTTTCGAGTGTGTTTCATTGAAAAAATGACATCTTTTCATCTGAATTCTAACTTTTGGAGCGTTTGATTGTCATTTTTTCATGAAAAATATTCTTCAGGCTTTGAAAATATATATAGTTTTGCTTATTTTTGAGGAGAATATTTTATGTTTTTGTTTTCCTCGAAATAAGGATAACGCTTCTTTCTCGAAAATATTTTTCAAACCAATCAAACACATCCTTGTTATTCAATGATTCTGTAAGACTCACAATTTATAATCATTTAAAAGCAAACATATTATTAATGTAACATAATTTATTATTCCAGGCATAAATGTAAATGAATATTTTAACTTAATTTAATTTTGACTAAATCGAGTAAACTCAGTTCAAGTTTCGCAAACTTTATAAAGCAAACATACTTCATATGTGTGAGCCCCACGTTTTCAAAGGTTGCAAAAGCATTCTATACTATGAAATCATGAGCATACTTTGATTGTACAAAAAATTAGAGATACTGTCAAAAGTATCTCGTGCCTCTCAATAATTGACCCTCTAGCATCCGTTATTGTTAAGGCAAATGCGTTAGACGTAAGGTATGACAGGGTTCTAAAATAGATTCCCAAAGGGTTTAATCAAGAACAGTTAGTATGATTCTACTCCAGCATATGGACTGGCCTCAAAAGAACTATTCTACTATCAAGAAAGAAATTTTATTATTTCAAAATTTCAAGATGATTTAACAATAAAGAATTTGTTTTAAAAAGAGATTGTAAAGTTTCAAAAGACAGTGTAAAAAAACCTTGTTTAACAAATTTTCGCTAGATGGCAAGTCATCTTATTTTGCTCTGATTTCAAAATTCTATATATACAAGGTAATTCAAACTGTCTTGCAGATTTGTCTACAAGAGAGTTTCTGTAACAAAAAACTTCTTGAGCAAAATAACTATGAGATATCAAAGAATGGATTCTTCTTCCTCTTCGAAGAAGAATAAGAAAGAGATAGCAATGCCTTTACTCTCAATTGAAGATTATATTTAAAATTCTCATGGATCTTCTTCTAACTCTCAAAAAACAACTCTTGCTTCAAAAAAACCTTTTTCGAAGTACCCCTCTAAGCAAGAAAGTTCGGAGGAATTTTTTTTTTTTTTCAAATTTCAAAAAAGCCGTTTTAGGATCTAAAAAATTACTAGATATTAACCCTAAAAAATCCTTTCATTACCTTACTAAACGAATTCAATATCTTGTTTTTGAAATGAAAACTTCATGGATCCATAGATATTCATCTCTTGATGAATGTCGTCAAGACATTTTTCCTCGACAATTCCATTTCAACCCAAAAATAAAAAAATAAAAAAGACCAGAACTTATTATGAAGCTATCCTAATTAAATCTGGATCAATTATAATAACTCATACCCCGAACTCTTAAAATTCAAAACAGATTGACTTTTCTAAAATCTCGATTCAAAGGATTTTTGATAAATATATTTTATACACTTATTGGGAGTCTAAAATGATGATATTTGGTAGTTCATTTGACAAAGTATATCCTAAATTATTGTATTTTATGTCATATAGGCAAAACTCAATGGTTGAACAAAGAATTGAAATAAAGAAGCGAAAATTGTTGAAAAATGTGAAATCCAAAGTATGGGGACTAAATTGTAAAATTTCAAAAGTTGATTTGGACTATGAAATGAAGATCGAAGATGTTAGGGCTTCGATTGGATGCAATTAGAAGTTAAAGGACCAAAATTGCAAGAGAAAATGACTTAAAAGAATCAAAAAATCAAATTTGGGGACCAAAATGCAAACTTTGAAAGATTGTATAATTGGGCGAGTGCCCCATTTCCTACTGGACGACTGCCCAGGCCAAAACCTCGGTTCACGACCTATTTCCTTTTTCATTCCAAATTATACATGGAAACCACCTTTTTTTTTTAAAGATTTTTGACCTAATTTTTACATCTATAAATACAATTCATAAGAAGCCAATATAAAAAATAAATATATAAAACCTCTCAAACTCCTCTCATATACATCTCATTCTTCAATACTCATCAATTATTATCATCAAAGATGAAAATTCATAGTTTTGTGAGAGAATTAAAAGGGACTTGCAAGAATTTAATCAAGTGGAGATTCAAACTTGATTTTTGGGCAAAGAAGAGAGGGCTAAAGTAGAGATTTATCTAGAAACCATTGAAGAGATTCAATTTCAAATTTCATCTTCATATTCCCAATGATCCGGGTTATATTTTTCCACTTAAATATGATTTTTTTAATTTTTATTTTTTGTAATTTCAATATGTTGGGCTAGTTTAATATGTTTATTATCGTTTTTATCGTTCTTTTCAATTACTTGATTAGCATTTGAATTTTTAGTGAATTTCATTGTTATTAAGAGAGATAATAGGGTTAAACACAATATAATAAACATTATAAGGTTCGGTAAAGAATAAAGATATACTTCTATGCTTTACACAATTTCAATAGGTTTTCTAGCACTTATTAATGTATTTATCATATTTGCATCTTTCATCAAGAGATAGAAGGATCACTGAGAGGAATATGTTTGATCGATATCGAGAGAGGAATTCAATTAAATTAAGAACATTGACCAACATTAATGATTTCAAAGTGTCAATTTAATTGTTAAGCTAAAAATGGAATAACATGAAGATTCGACATCTTAACAATACTTTCACATACTTGAAAAACACATTTATTCGCTTTCACCAGTTTAATTAATAATTTAGGGATTGTATAGAAAAATCACAAAACTTATTTGCTATTCGATTAAAGTAACAATTAATTTTAACTCGGTCAAATACATAGCTCTAATGAGCTCGACACTATATTCACTACTTTATAATTTTATCTTGTGAAGATTGGGAACAACTCCTATGGGAAGAGAGAATGACATATTATCAAAAGATGATATATTTGAATTTTGTTTCAATTATTTTGATTACAAAAATGCCTGATTCAATGTTTTCTATTTTAGACCACTAACTCATTCTTGGTTTATACTTTTCATCTAGCTTGTTCAACAAGTTTTTTTAAATGGTTTCAAACTTGATTCGATTACTTTGGTCTTGACAAAACTAGTCTTATTCCTCAAGGATTCAAACACTTCAAAAATGAAGCAAAAAACATTTTAAAGCCTCAAGAAAATCGTTTATTTCCTTCGCATTAAATCTCAAAGTCTCGTAGGATTTTCTAATGGGATTTTCACACCATTCAAAATACTATCCCTGAGTTCAATGTCAAAAGGATTGTTCGAAGATTCAAAATTAAATAGTTGTTAAAATTTCATGAGACAAACTGTTGCCTCAAGGCTGTTAGCTCATGGATTCAAGAATAAAAAAATATCAGCGTTGCAAAAATTTTTAAAAGAGATCAAGAAAGGCATGCTCAATCAGTACAAGACTCCAGAAGAATTGACAATTATTTCTTAAAAATTGCCAATTTATCTGAAGACTCTTCAAAGAAATTAATATTGGACTCTTCTCAATCAAATTCAAAAAAAATATGTTCAAAGCAATGAAAATGATTGTTAAGGGTTGGATACTGATGAGATGATTACCTAAGTAATTCAAAAGTATTCAAAATGACTATATTGACCTAGTAATCTGGATGAATATAAAAATATCGGATTCATAATTCAAGAAATGTACTATTTTAGAGGGAGCATTTTTTTAGATCGAATGACATAATATTCCATTCATATTGACCAAAAGGAACATTAAATACAGTTTTGTATCTAACTCCTTTTTTAATTTGAATTTGCTAAAATCAAGAATTTATATCAAAACAGATAATTTCCTCTTAATAATTTAATACGTATAATGTTTTTTACATTGAAATTCGTAAATTAATAGAGGAACCCGGATCATTTGACTCAATCAGGGCCCGCTGCCCAACACGCGCCATGATATGCGCGTGTTCAATTACTGACCTGGTGGCAAAAACTACTATAGAAGCCAAAAGCCAAAACAACAACGGCAAGGGAAAGGAGCACGCGTCACGTCACCGTACAATTCCTACTTGTCGCCACCGGTGACGGAACCCGCGGAAAGCACGCATAAACTTCTATAGATACATATTCTATACGTATATTTCTATGCGCTGTCGTTTTTTCGCGTGTCGAAGAATCCTTAATATCATAAATTTTCGAATTCAGCTGATTGATTCGTAGTTGGTGATTCATTTGCCATTTTAGGTAAGGATTTTGTTTGCAGAATTCATGGTTTTTCCAAGTTAATAAATTTTTTATTGTCCTTTTTTACCTGGCATATTCATCGTCGATTTTGTTTTCATTTTTGAAGGTTTAGTGATTTGATTTTATGGGGCTCTTTAATCTTTTTATTTGTGCGTGTATATGTGGTGCTGATGTGTTTTGTTTGATATGCAATTAAAATTAATGATTTCCTGTTCGGGTACATGGGAATTTTTATTTCTAATTTTGAGTGAATTTGATTATTTTTCCCTTTCGAGAAAATAAGTTTCCATGTCTGGTTTCTGTTGTCTGA